GAACATTATACTGATGAACATCCCACATCATTTGTTTCTCTCACTTGATTACATGATGGTCCTTCTCAATGAGGTCAAGCGGAATTTCCTGCTTGTTTGCCTAACCAAAACCCAAATGCAAAGGAACCTTTGAACAATGAACCGTTTCTGACAGTTTAAGAGTTCTGATACTTTTTGTTTGTTGGTAATGCCACCCTCATCAATATAAAGTGCAATATCAGCACAGTCTATGCTTGGACCAGAAAATCCAGAGAGGGAGAGAGAGAGAGAGAGATATGATTATTGGGGGGGGAATCACCTATTTTGTTCTGAGGAGGCAGTGGGGGCATCAATTTTTTACATACCAATATCATAAAAACATATGCTTAAAATGGTGGGAGGGAGGAGAGGGGGGTATTGATTTTGTACATGACATGCAGAGGGGGTCTCTTACTTTGTACATAAATTTTAGGGGGGGTCATTCATATTGTACATGCTTTTCCATAAAAATCATCATCACCCCCCACCCCTTGCCATAAATTATGAATCATCCCTAAGTGTTGTGCTCAAAATGTCCCAATTGATTGACAAATTTGGGAAGCGACGGGCTTTAGTTATTGAATATTTCATAGAATATTTTCCTGTCATACCCGAAACCTATGACTGATTATTTTCAAACCACACTAGTTCATCTGCATGATTTCCAGAGGGACAAATTAGAGTTTTTCTATTTAATCTATTGTTAATTAAGTGAAGAATACAAAAATATATTTCTCTTGTTGGATGGTTTCCTATTCCAATTCATGATTTATCTTTCCCAGCAAAAGACTGATTCAGCCAGCCAATGATCAAACTTGACATTTAAATATAAATGTTTCTTTGCCAGAAACATTCCTAATGCCATCCTCTCTAAGTTTCATAAAAGATATGAAAATCGATGCCAGAAAACAAAAAGTCCATATCATCTGCCAAAACAAGTTTCATTCAGCGTAAAAGGCAAAAGAAAAGTGAAAAGTAAGAAAAGTGAAAATTCTGCTATGTCTGAAAGATGGCTGAGAATGTGTGTCACTCAGTAATCTATCACGTTATAGAAAGTCTAACCTGTTTGAAGTGTTTATATCATTAAAATGAGAGATTGAGGAGAACTTTCACGACATCATTTGTTCAGCACATTGCCTTCGTTCAGAATGCCCTGTGTCAAGCTTAAGAGGACTATCCTTATCCAGGCCGCATTTCACAAAGCGATCTTGTCCTAAGGTGATCGTAATTCCCATATTTTAACATAGACTTACGACAGTTTTAGCGCTACAATCGCTTTGTGAAACGGCCTCCGATCTATTAGGTGTGATTGGTCATGTGACAGGTAATTCTGATGTGACCAATTAACACGGTGTTGCAGACCTTTTTTAAGCAACAGCAAGATCTGATTGCAATGGTATAATAGCTGAATGCCTTCACGTAAGCCAGTGCTTAGCACTGTTAAAATAGCTCTGAGATAAACAGTGAGACAAAGCCTTGGACAATTAAATGGTCATCACTATCTGGACAATTAACTGTTCATCGCCACCTGGATGATGAACATTAAGACTTACATCTACAGTGAAAAGTTTATCCCTCGATATATGACCATGAACTTGTCAACATATTAAAATACAATGATATCTAGTAATTCTACATCCACGTCTCAAGGCCATTCAAGCATGAAGGGCAAGCAGTGCTCTATCTACAGACACAGAAGCTCTGGATACAACAGGTCTACTACAGGTCTACAGGTCTGGATACAACAAATGGAGATCAACTACAATTTGCTTTTCCACAAACTAGTCATCCAAGCTAACTGTTTTTCATGAACTTTTTCATGTCTTCACAAAATATCATTGCTCACTGTTCTTAAAGCCTGTGTTACTGCAAAGCTCCACTAAATTACAGGTCTACTTCCCAAGGCATGGGGATGAAAGATCTGGCAATCCCTCCTTTGTGATAGCAACAGATGACTGATGCGGGACACGAGGGGAGCCGTAAGGCGTGACATGGTTAGCTTACCCTAACGCTGTATCATGTGGTTATACATTGTAGTTTTGTATGACGTGAGCCAGTTGACTCTTCACCCTGTCAGGAATCAGAGCCACATTTTTATTAAAGGTGTATTACTGTTTTGTGTGGATGTATTGAAGTAATTAGTTATTTACACAGCTGAAATTCAGCCTCTCTTAAGACTGACTCTCTCTTTCTATCTCTCTGAGAATGTGTGTGTGTCTCTCTCTCTTTCTCTCTCTCTCTGAGAATGTGTGTGGCTCTCTTTCACTCTCTTGGAGTATGCGTGTGTCTCTTTCTCTTTCTGTCTCTCGGTGTGTGTGTGTCTCTCTGTCTGTGCGTGTGCCTCTGTCTCTCTTTCTCTCACTTTCTTGGAGTATGTGTGTGTCTCTCTCTCTCTCTCTGTGTCTGTCTGTGCATGTGTCTGTGTCTCTCTCTCTCTGAGTGTGTGTGTGTCTCTCTCTCTCTCTCTCTGTGCGAGTGCCTCTGTCTCTGTCTTTCTCTCACTCTCTCTTGGAGTATGTGTGTCTCTCTTTCTCTCGATGTGTGTGTGTGTCTCTCTGTCTCTGTGTGTGTCTGTGTGTGCATGTGTCTCTGTCTCTCTCTGAGTGTGTGTGTGTGTCTGTGTGTGTCTACATATACGTGTCTAAGTGTCTCTGTGTGTATATACAGACCATGACAGCAATGTATCTATATTTTAATGTGTGTGTGATTTCAAGTGTGTGTGCGAGTGTGTCTATCCAAAGAAGTGTTTGTACCTGTCTTTCTCTCTATATATATAGTACAACCAGAAATTATTGAAAACTTAAAGATTTAATTTTTTTTAATTGTATCACTCATTACTCACATATTAAATGTGAATATTAGCAGAACATAACTCCAGATTCAAAGACAGGTGAACAGTTAGTATTTTGTCAAGTCACCATGGGCAGCAATGCAGGCTTCAATGCGGCGGGGCATACTACTGATCAAAGAAGTTAGAAAGTCGTGGTCCATGCTGTCCCAATATCGGACCACCTCTTCTTTCATTTCACCAATATTTGTCAGATTTTTCTTATTGACACTTTCCTTCATAAGTCCCCAAACATTTTCTATAGGATTTAGGTCAGGGCTATAGCTTGGCCAATCTAATAATGTCATATTTTGGGTCCGAAACCAGGCCTGTGAATGCTGTGAATGATGTTTTGGGTCGTTGTCCTGCTTAAATCCAAACATTTCCATAGAACACGTGAGTAGATGGAAGTAAATGTCCCTCGAGAATATCTGTGTACCGCTCACTGTTCATATTACCTTCAAATACACAGAGGGGTGTTGCCCCTAACACAGATATGCCACCCCACAAGTTAAATTACGGACTGTACTTTGGGCGTTGATACAAAGGTTTTTCAGTTTGTTTGGTTCAGAATTTCAGTGTATTAGGAAACAGCCACACAGAACTTTCATCTGAGAAAACACATTGTCCCAGTTAAAATTTCTATGCTGTAAGCACCAGTTCAACCTTCGCTCCTTTTGTTCAGGTTTCATGATCAGTGATGGAATTCCTCGACTTTTCTGCCAACCCATTGCATGCAGCTCAGTTCTAATTGTCCCCTTACAGACAGCTACAGTTCCTCTATCAGTCATATCCAGCCTTAAGTTTTCTAAACTCCTTCGTTTGTTTTTTTAGAAACAAGAATACCAAGCCGCCTCCTATCACCGACAGTCAATTTTCTGGGCCTACCTGCGCCTCCCTGGTGCTCAATGCCATATCCATTTGCAATTATTTCAAAACACGATAAACAGTGGACAAAGGGATGCCTGTTCTACTTGAAATCACTTTAGCTGATCTGATGTCCTTGTTATAATACTCTAAAATCAATTTCCTCTTCTCTAAATCATCCATACTGAGGATCACTGAAAATGTCGTCTGCTAGCAAGTAAACAAAGGGGGGTAACTCTTCACAAACTAATGAAAAAGGATTAACAGAGTTCTCTCTCTTGAATGAAACCAAGCACTTGATAGCTGGCCAAGGTTGTTTATACTAGAAATCCAATTAAACATATTCCTAAAATTCTCAATAATTTCTGGTCATACTATATATACCCATGTAGGAACAGGTGGGACCGGGAAGAGGGGGGTGCAGGCAGCAATGTCGGATGGAGCTATTCTGTTGGGTAATATGACATGGACCATGTACACTCAATCCATTAGCTGCCACTTTCAGTCAGGTTACTGTGTAACCAATTCTAACCCCAAATCCATCCCAATTGAGTTGCGTCTTATATCTAACAAGGGAGAGCTGGACACACCACCAGCTGGTTGTTAAGTGAAAGAAAAACAGTTTTGAGGTCTTCAATCAAATCGCCCAAGTGCTTTGTGTCTTTTATGTATGGGCACAAACATCATTGAATGTTTAACTTGAATGACTAAGCGTTTATTGCAGTAACTGAAACATGAGACTATTTTCTGACAACCTACACCGTTCCAACATGTACAGTGTCATTTGATGCTGTGTAGTCCATGAGCCTCCACTACTATATAAGGGCAATTTAACACTTATAAAAACCTTTGCTGTAAGCGTTCATTTTTTTTGTAATCTCAAATCTTTTGTTATATAACTGATCAAATCATCTTCCATGGCAGTCTAGGGGCGGTCGGGTAGCCTAGTGGTTAAAGCATTCGCTCGTCACGTCAAAGGTCTGGGTTCGATCCATGGGTACTGTGCGAAGCCCATTTCTGGTGTCCCCCACTGTGATATTGCTGGAATATTGCTAAAAGCAGCGTAAAACTATACTCACTCACTCCATGGCAAGCATAATTTTTGTGAAGCCATTTGAAATTAATAACAGTGATCTGATTTGATAATGTGTTTTCATCACAAGGGGAGCAACTCTTGCTCCACAAAGGGTGGACTACCAACATGCCAAGAAAGGTCAGCTTAAAAGGGCAGGGATACTCTTGCCATGGGAAGATGCTGCAGAACACTAAGATAATGATCACATGTGACTTTTATATGGATTTGTTTTAACTCCCCTTAAGACAACAAATTTGTGTGTAAAGCATGTTACATAAAAGTACCTCTTTTTCCGAGATGAAGTGACTCGCCCCCTTCTCCAATCGACGGGGCACATGAAGACCTCGACCTCGCTTCTGAAATACACAAAACACAAATTACATGTTATGAAATTCAACAGTTGTTTGTATTCAACATTAGCATTGTTTCTTGGGCTAGCAGAAGCACATGGTTTAAAAGTGAAAGGCCTGTCTGGTACATGATCTTAAGCACCAAGGTAAAACACCCAATGGTAAACATGCCCTGCTCTATGGGTGATGCTTGACACTCACAATTTGCATAAAAAATAAGTGTTTTCTTGTTGTTTGAGTCTTGACACTGCAAAACATCATTCTCTGTGGTTGCCTGATGCTGCACAAATATCTATCTTTTCTTCATTTGTGAAATATCTGAAGTTATCAAAAACACAAGCAATAAACTCAAATTGGTGGAAATATGTCCAGTGCTCAGTATGATCAAAACGATACTGCCCAATATGATGAAAACAAGACTTCTCAGCATGATCAAAACGAGACTGCTCAATATGATCAAAACAAGACTGCCTAGTATGATGCAAACAAAACTGCTCAATAAGATCAAGAGAAGCTTTTTCTTCGCACGGAACTCTTAATTAACTGTGAACTTGATCATTATCAACAAGATAAATAGAAGATCCAATGTTATTTACTGCAGCGAACAGCCTCAAGCCAGTCACACGTCCAGTTGAAATGAAACAAGTCAGTATCCAGCTCAATAACTACTGGTCAGGTCCGTCCATAATTAAATAGATCGTCACTCGGTCCTTATCCCCTCATCTGTAATCTGTAGCAATGAAGCGATGAACCATCATTGATTGGTAAATAGCCCCTCATTCGTATTATAGTTACAGAGGCCATCATGGGAAAACACGATGCTCAAGGTAAATATTAATCACTGAATACCAATATGTGTTATTATTTGGTGATAGCGAGGGCGCCTCAGGAGACTCGCATCTCATCATATATCTCGGGTTATTTAGTTCCCACAATGCACCAGATGAACATCACTTGAAAGTATCAAGTCAATACGCCATACATATACACTAGAAGCCTATCGGTCAGTACACATACGATACAGAGTGTGCTTGGACGACACAAAATCAGTCTGTCAAGTGACTAAGATGGCAGAAATCTGAGCATGTATCTGTGTACACAAACTCACAAGGATTCACTGATAATCTACATTCAGACTGCTTCTATAATATATATATACCACTCAAAATATGTTGAAGAACACCCAATTCTTTAACTGTTAATCTGTTGTGCCAAATAGTTCATACTTCAATTCAATCTTAATAATCCGTCATGTCACTTTGGAGTGAGTACAGTTTTATGGCATTGTAGCAAAATAACCCAGCAATATCTTGGCAGGGGACATCAGAAAAGGGGTTCACACATTGCACCCATGTGGGGAATCAAACCTGGCTCTTTGGCCTGCTGAGCGAATGCTTTAACCACTAGGCTATCCCATCACCTCCTGAATCAATCTCAGTCATTTATGCGCTATTCTATTTTGGTTCTTTTTACAGCCAGTTGTTCTTCCTATACACAGATTACCACAAAAATGATGATTAAAATGGAAGATCAAACTATTTTCTCATTGTAATAGGAAACCAATCTATCAGAAGGTATTTTCTTTCTATCATGGTGATAAGACATTAATCTAAAATAGGACATAAGGATCATTAAGAGATCGAATTATTCATACAGTTCATAAAACCTTCATACTTATATCTAAATATACATTACATTATCATTCTAGTTAACATGCTTATATGAATATGTTTATAAAAACATCTTTCTGAGAAAATATACTGACAAAAATCTTTTTAATATCACAGTGTCGTATAGGAGGAGCAAAATATTGCAAACATATGTCTGTTTCTTTCATGAATATTTACAGTAGTCATTGAAGCATGACAAACACCTACATATACCAGTATACTGAAACAGCTAAGTCAGCAGGGAGAAGAGAAGCATGGTTGCATCAGCGTTATATTTAGCCACAGGCTGGTTCCATTTACCACACAGAGCGAAACTTGTCTCAACACAGAGCAAGGTGAAATGACTTGAGGCAAGGTCACTAGCACCAGAGTTGATCATGTCAGATCTGGAAAACAGTTTGTATTTATGTTCATGAGTAAAAAAAATTAAACTTAATTCCTTGGATTCATAAAAAAAAATTAAAAAATTGAAACAAAATATCTGAAAAGCATTATTTATTTTCCTTCTCCTAAGGCAAACTTGTTCAACAGAAATATATATCACGTAATTCAAATTGGCGTTTTTCAAACACACACCAGTTACATGTATTTTCAGAAATTACTAGTAAACAATAGTGAATAGACTTGGTTCAAACGTTTTTGTAACAGTTACACAGCAATTATATACCCCATGCTATTTCCTGTTATTATCTGTAATATACACAAGAAAATATGGAATGCTGTGCAATTTCTAATGATCACCTGGTGATTTTCAATGATCAATTTGTCAGTTATTTTTTTTTTTCCACTCAAGGGAGTCTGTTTCAGGAGATAACTGGGACTGGTTATTCTCTGGTCTTACGATCCCCGACCGCGTCATACCAAAAGACGTTAAAATATGGTACTTGTTGGTCCCTGCCTGGCGCTCGGCATTAATGGGTACAACAAGAACAGGTCGGCTCGGAGTCAGTATAATGTGTCTGAGTGGGGTATTCATGCTTCACTGCGGCATGGTATCTCATTGGGCTAGCAGCTTAAAACCAGCTTAAGTCTGGGCTAGTACAAACAGCTGCACATACACATACACACACATGCACGTCGTCATATGAACGAAATATTCTCAAGCACGACGTAAAAAACAATTTCACCTCACCTCACCTCTCGTCTTAATGTGTTATCTTCACATAATTTAGTTCAGTGCCTATAACAGGCCTATGACAGAAAATATAGGACTTTTATCCTGCTTTGATAAGTAACACCAAGATTCAAGTGAAATACTTCTCTAGAAAATCATGGGTATTTGATTCTAGCGATTGCAAAGAACAAACTGAAGTCATGAAAGGATATGGTTCGATTCACCAAATACTCGAATAAATTATAACAGCCCTGCTTAACACATATCAACAACCCGTGAAGATCCGGGGTAGAATAGGTCTTCAGCAACCCATTCTTGTCATAAAAGGCGACTATGCTTGTCGTAAAAGGCAACTAACGGGATCGGGTGGTCAGGCTCGCTGACTTGGTTGACACATGTCATTGGTTCCCAATTACGCAGATCGATGCTCATGCTGTTGATCACTGGATTGTCTGGTCCAGACTTGATTATTTACAGACCGCCACCATATAGCTGGAATATTGCTGAGTGCGTCGGAAAACTAAACTCACTCACTCACTCACTAACACATATCAACAATTCAGACATTTTGAAAAATTGAAGTCTGCAATGACATTTAAATGTTTTGCCCAACTACGGACCATGATGTGTACGCAATAATCTGTAATCAACGACAAACAGCAAGTCTGGTCTCATATCAATTCTTTAACAACACTGGAACTCAGGGCATTATCATTTGCAGAAGCCCTCGGTCTTTTCAACTGCCCTTAACTGCAGTTAATGAAAGACCTCGGGCTTCTGCAAATGATAATGCCCTGCAAAATAGCGTTACCCTTATATTATATACTGCTCAGTCTTTGATAAGGATATTGTGGAATCTGAATGTGTGTGACTTGCTGCTTGGAGATGGTGTCATGCAAATACTATCCCAGCAAATACTATCCCAGTACTGTAACCAGAGCTACAGGTAACTTTTTGGGTCACTGAGTTTTGTACTCGCTTGTGTTCATCTCAATTGGGTATCCTAATTTTCCTTTGCGCAACCAAATTAATTGTATCCACCTCACTCGAAATCAATTGGGTATTTTGCCATTTTCCATTGATTGTAAAATTATAATTAGGAGACAACTTTACTGTGTTTGACGAATTGGGGACGTATAATACAGTTTAAATGTTGATTTATGTTTTTGTTATTTATTTTTTATCTGTAATATGAGAAACGATAAGAAAGACTGCAAGTTGCCAGGTTCATGTACTGAAATAGAACCTCTCAATATACCTCAGTTATATTATATATTTTGTGTGTACGCATGTAGGATCAAATTTATTGAGTAATTACAAAAATTCTAGCATACTTGTACGCAATAGACTTAATATTATAGGAATTGAGTTCTTACATAAATACTTGCATAATTTACGCCAGATACGCAGCTTATTTGTACTTCTGTACAAAAAGCCCTTAATCCTTCTCAAATGTTGAGTAGCATAGCAGCTAAAGTGGTCATGAAGGTATTTTTTATTACATCCTATTTAATGACCGCAGTTGTCAACATTTCTGGTGTCATATTTTGACAAGTGTGTCTTTCAGACCCAAGAGAAAAAAAAAATTCAACTAAAACCTAGAATAATATTGTGATACTGTAACTAAGCATGGCTTCATTCAGATTTTATTTCAATCATTATGCAGATGTATAATGACAAATGTTTGTGTAGTTTCCTACCAGTGATCCTGTCTGTGAGCAATAGATCTGAACAACGGGTAATAGGAAATGGCCCAGGATCATCAAAGGATGCTCATCAAGACATGTTTTGTGTGCCTTTGGCTACTTCAGTGAGCCCCCATATCCAGGGTAATAATGAACTATCTACGCTATGTGGATTTAGCGCAATATAAATGGACTAATTATTATTATTATTGAATAACAAATGAATATGTTATCTACTTCCATGTCAATATAGTTATTTGAGAGAAATTACATTTATAGCAAGACTTTTAACCTTCCAAATAGTTGTAATTCCTAATGCATTTCTCTGCGTTTTTTCACTCTTAACTTGATACTCAGTGACTTGAGTGAGTAAGAGAGAGTGAGAGTGAGTGAGTGAGCGAATTTTACGGGTCCTTGCTCACTCGGGTAATATGAGTGTCCTGTAAAGTATTGAAATGGTGTAGTGTACTGTACACTCAGATAATGACTTCAGAGCCTGGAATGAATCAGTGGTCATGTGGACAGTGGTCCTGACTG